TTTCATAATATCAGTTATGAAATATAATTTTAGGAATACAACATGAAATACAGCATCCATCTTTGCTTTTTAAATATGACCTCCAGTTTATGTAAATCATAATTGGTGAGCATGTCATTGGTGTTGAATTTGTTCCTGGGAGTTTCAGGGGCCTGCAGATGGAACTGCTCCCACAATGGAGACATATTATGAAATCATCAAAGCTACTGAAAGACAATGCAGCTTCCTCCCTCTCAAGAACAGAGTTTGACAGTAACATCTCAGAACAGATGTTTCAACAGTCTCCAAATGTTTTTATTTGGTGGCACAAAGACTCTGTTATTCATGAAATGGTCTGTTAAAAAATTAGTTCCTCCATGTGGGGATTGTGGGAAAATGTGTCATGTGAATTGATTTCACTTTGGCAGGAAACTGGCTCTTAACTCTTTAGATTGTCTCCAAGGTTTGATTCCAACAAGGTTCAATTCCAGATCACAGCAGTTGCAGAGAAGGTGGTAAAACCGTAGTCAGTGTCTTTCCCAGAGTTGATTCATCTGAGGATGTCACATTCTTTTATTTTTAAAAAAATAGAAGTTAAGTAAAGGTTTATAGAAATTTGGTCTTGTGAATAACAATGAGAAAATGTGGGCCTTCGTGCTGGCTGGTTATTTGCATTATCTTCCTAAGACAAGTCCACTTCTACAGCTTATCTTGTTGATTTTAGACTCCAGCTTAAAGAAAAATCTGCCATTTGAAGACAGACATGGGCAGCTCAGGATGTGGTTTAAGAGACCTTGGTGTGACTGTCTAGTAGTGTGGAAGAAAGGGACTGGTCATCTTCACTTCTCATGTCTTGTCTTGCCACTACCCCAATCTGTACTTTCCACTCCTAACCGGACAGAGGTCAAGCACACTGTGGCCTGTTTTAGCAAATAACATTTTTGGGGACACACCTGCTGTCACTCATTTGCGTATTACTGTGGCTTCTTTTGTGCTTCATCACCAGCATTAAGTAGTTGTAAATAGAGACCGTCTAGCCCACGAAGTCTAAAATATTTACAGAACAACTTTGCCAACCCCTGCAATAGGAAGTCACATGTGTACTGTGACCCAGCGTTTGAACATTACATTAAGAAGATATTTGGTAGGTTTTAGCTGTTTCCATTTTAAAGGTAGTTGTGGAGTATAAGAAATGTAAAGTATTATTTGACTTTTGATAATTTAATATCTCACAAGAGAGTGTTTAAAATACAACAATACATAGCTACAAATAAACATATTAATTAAAATCTTCCAGGACAATCTGAAAAAAACTATGGAAAAGAGGAGAGAGATGTTAGTGAACTGTCTATTGGGTATTCACCAAACAGTGAAAATAATGAATAAAAGGACCCTATGTGATGCACAATACACTTAAATGTTGAAAGTTGTAGGTAGTATTTGCATATTTAGTTGTTACTTCATTTTTTCTTATTCTCTCATCTGTGTATGTTCATTGTTCTTAGTACAGTTTCTTGTACATGCTCCCAGTGTATGTGATTCTGAAGTCTTCTCGTCCAATGAGATGACAATCACAGGTGACTGTCCAGCTAAATACTGACACCACAGCCATGCCAAATATGATGACACTTTGGGTCCATCTGCTGAAATACGTATGAGGCTTGCAATAATACAAGAGCACAGACACAACAGAAAAATAATTAAAGCATGCTTAAAGAACAAGAACCCAAGTTGAGGGAGAGGAGGAATAAAGGTAGTTATATCAAGAAACCAAGACTCCTTTGAGCCAACGTCAGCAATCATGCTAAACAGGGAAGAAAAGAAAATAGGAGTTCTAAAGCTCTTATTTCATGAGAATAAGCATTCTACTTTATCAGGAAATACATTTTTTTTCCTAAGAGGACTCTCTTGCATAATCTTTTTTTAAGGACTTGATCAGCACCTGCAGTGCAGAGATACTGCAAACCTGTACCATCCAATATGGCACCCCTAGTGACTTGTGGCTACCAAGCACTGGAAATGTGGCTAGTCCAAGCTGAGATGGTCCATAAGCATGAAACCTACATCGAATTTAAAGATTTAATGTTTAAAAATAATGTAAGATACTGATGATGTTTATATTGAATTTAGATATATTATTTAAATAATATATTTAAACCAAATATATTAATTAGTTTATCAAGTTTACATTAAGTGATATACAAATAAATTTAAATTATATAAAATATATTGTTAAAATTAATTTTGCCTCTTTTTACTTCTTTGACGTGGCTACTAGAAAATATATAATTCCATCTGCGGCTTGCACTATGTTTGTATTAGCACTGATTGATAGGGTAACATTTTATGTATTAGGGTACAGTGATGCCCTTTCCAAGGAATGCATTTCTGAGAGGACAGAATGGAATTTGGTGTAGGCATATGGTTTTTGATAGTCTCTTCACTCAGAGATTGGGCATCTGCAAACAGCTTAATATTTGGCATACATACAGATTCCCCCCACCTTGGGAACATTTTTCTAAAATGTTGATCACAAAATTTAAAATTAAACTATTCATACTCTTGAAAAGATGATATCTCTTTCAGGTTTTCATGAAATTATACCTGGCTTAATGATAGATGACTTGGATTATGTTCAGGTTTCAAATCTGTCATTTCTCTTTTTATTCTTCTAATTAGAAAATATAAATCACAATTACAGATAATTGGAAATGTTGGCAAATACCTGGTGTCTCTGTGAAATGGTTTGAAATATTCCAACCAAGGACCTAGAAATGATAACTCGCTGAAGACTGCTTTTGCCCCCTGGTATAGCACATCCCAATCCTAAAGATTGTATATTTCATTTTGTAAGATAATTCCAAGTGTATATCTAGTTCCTGCTGGACTGTAAGCTTTGAGAGGACAGAGATTTGTGTCCGTTATGTTTATTGATGAATCTCTAGCATCTAGAATAATCCTGCCACTAGCAGATGCTAAAATAATGTGTTGAAAATATGAACGAAAGTTGTCCTGTTTCTGCCTGTGAGATCTGCCTCATGAAAGCTTTTAATTCCTTGTTACATTTCTCGAGGATTACACTGTAAGCAGGATGCACAAAATACTAAAAAAAACTTTGTCTTTGACTTGATTACATATTTTTTTTTTATTCAAGACTGAAAACAAGTCCTCTAGAATGTAGCGGCAGTGGAACAGATATTGAAGATGCATAAACAATATAATAGATCCTTGAACTTTTAGGGATATTCAGAGTTCTTCACAAACCCCCAAACTGTCGATACCATGGTAATATAGTTTACTCACATGAATTTCATACAAAGCAATAAAGAGAAGAGGAGGAGGTCACTTGGGGCTCCAGGGGCTGAGGGGCTACCCTCGTTGGGAGGAGGCTCACCCCACAGCTCAGCTCTCTACGGCTGCTTCACACTCATGCTTCAGCAATAGCACAGGTCACAGTGGCTTCACACTCATGCCTTGGCGGTGTCACAGTGGCCCCACATGTGTGTCTTGGTGACATCACATGTCACAGTGGTGTCACTCATGCCTCAGCAACGTCACACGTCACAGCAACCTCACACTTGTGCCTCAGCAATGTCACATGTCACAGCAGCTTCACATTTGTGCTTCAGTGGCATCACACATCACAGCAGCTTCATACTCATTCATCAGTGACATCACACATCACAGCAGCCTCACATGCGTGCCTCAGAAGTATAACATATCGCATATCATGCCTTGGCAATGTCACACGTCACAGTGGCCTCACATTTGCATCTCAGCAAAATCAAGCGTCATGGCCGCGTCACAGTCATGCCTTGGCAACATCACACGTCACAGCAGCTTCACACTCATGCCTCAGAAATATTAATATCACAGAGAGCTTCACACTCGTGCCTCAGCAACGTCACACCTCACAATGGTTTCACACTTATGCCTCAGTGACATCACGCATCACAGCAGGCTTCACACTCAGTCGTGCCTCAGGGACGTCACATGTCACAACAGCCTCACACTCGTGTCTCAGTGACATCACACATCATGGTATCATCACATTCTTGCCTCAGTGACATCACACATCACACTCATGCCTCAGTGGTGTCACACACTACAGTGACTTCACACATGCCTCAGTGACATCACATGTCACAGCAGCCTCACACTTGTGCCTTAGTGACATTGCACATCATGGTGACCTCATACTTGTGCCCCAGAAACATCACACATCATGGCAGCTTCAGACTTGTGAGTCAGTGATGTCACACGTCACAGCGATGTCACACTTGTTCTTCAGTGATGTACGTGTCACAGCATCATCCCACTCATGCCTCAGCAACATCACACATCACAATGGCTTCACACTCATGCCTCAATGACATATATCACAGCAGCTTCACACTCATGACTCTACAACATCACACATCTCAGCAACATCACACTCATGCCTCAGTGATGACACATATCACAGCATCTCATGAGCCCTTGACATTGGCCATGTATTATTGAAGCCAGTGAAAACCAGGAATCTACTATATTATTTTGTCTTACTTGTAAAAATTTTAAGTACTAAACTTAAGAAAGTAGTTCTCCCAGGTTGCGAAGCCTTGGTTTTAGAATATAATATTTGTGGGTGTTATTATAAGTAAATGGCAAGGTAACTTACTGTTAAAAACAAAATGAGTGACCGTATATAACAGAATACATTTTCACTTGGAGATCAATTGACACGTATGTATACATTCAGTTAGGTTTTGGACCTCTGGTGATAAACTTCTGAATGTAAACAAAAAAAAGGGAAAAAAATACGTCTGTTTTCATTTTCAAGCTGTTTTTAAAATACGTACACATATATATTTGTAGTTTAATGAAACCTGCCATGATGACTTTTTTTTTAATGAAGAAGATGAACAGAAATCTTTACTAAAGATGGGTTGGAGCAAAAAAAAAAAAAAGGATGCTGTTGCCATGGTGACAGCTGTCCAGCAGACACATCTCACATCTCTTCCGTGTATCATGTGTTTTAGGGCAATTCAAGCTGCTGGAACAAGACCGAGATATAAAGGAGCCAGTGCAATATTTCAACAGCGTGGAGGAGGTGGCTAAGGCATTTCCTGAGCGTGTGTACGTCATGGAGGAAATAACATTCAACGTGAAGGTAGCTGGTGAAGAACCAAATATTTATCCTCGCTAAAAATAATTTAACTTTCAAGTCTGTATGTACAGAGTGAGTGTTCCTCCGCACCTCCCAGGAGAATTTGATCTTCCTAATGGGTTGGCTACAGTGGCCAGAACTGCATGTACCACAGCTGGCCCGACTCCCCGACAGCTCCTATCTTTTGTTAGAATTAAAACCTGATATCTGAGTTCAAAACTATCGCTGTTAAGGCAGATAAAAGATTTTTTTTTTTTTTTTTTTTGGTTTCGTTCTCTAATACATAACAGTTGTTTGGCCAACAACTGTGATTGCTCCACTTCCGTCAAAGGGATACGATTAAACTAATACCAAACACTTATTTTTTTAAAAGAAAGGAGAAGGCTTCCAGAGCATTGCTTGAAATCAGCATGTCTCCATTCCATTCTTTGTGGTCTATTTCAGCATACATAGAGAAGACTGATAGGTGGGACATGGGCCAGAGAAGACTGTTTGCAGGGCTTCATTTATTCTGCATTCTTAGAGGGTCAGTGCAGCCCCCTTCTACATGTTGAAGAGGGATGGACCAGAGAAGCAAGCCACCACCTTATTGCCTTCACGTCCACTCTTCTGCCTTCACGTCCACTACATTTTCTTCAGCAACACCCACAATTATACACAAACATTTTAGAAAGTGATCACGTTGAAAGAATTTTCTGTTTAAACTTTTTAGCCCAAAATTCAACTAGGTGGCCTTCCCTGAACATTTCAAGATTTAGGAAGCAAGAGTCCTGTTTTTCTGAGAAACCCACTCTATGTGAAAAACAGCCTGCATGGGATCTTGACACAGGAATGCAACCGTGTCTCTGTGGGTGAGTCACCCACCTCCTTCAGGATAAGGAGGAAATGCCCAGGACAAATGGTTCTGCCCATCTTATTGACTAAGCTAAGTCATTTTGTCTTTCAGTTTTATTATTAAGATGGGTGAGATTTTATATTTTGTAAAGTCTTTACTTAGTAAATTATGCATATCTACAAAAATATTAATCATGTTTAACTCTTTCAGTGGCCTCAGTATATTAGTCGCCAAGACAACTTACTTTCATTTACACTGAAAATCTGCAAGAACATGTTTTTCATTTTTAAACTTATCAAGATTTATTGGTCAGAAGTTAATTAAATCCTATTCCATTAGTGTTTTGATATGATTTAAATCGCTCCTTAAAACTTATATTTAGCATTATCTAAATGAAAAAAAGTAATTTAGAAAGTGAATACTTTTAAACTGTTTCCTAAAAACATTTCATTTGCTGATAAATTATGAGAATTCAAGCATAAAATTTTTTATGATTAGAGACAGAGTCTTGGCTGGGCACAGTGGCTCATGCATGTAATCCCAGCACTTGAGGAGGCCAAGGTGGGAGGATCTCTTGAGCCCAGGAGTTCAAGACCAGCATAGGCAACATAGCAAGACCCATCTCTACAAAAACTAAACATAATTAGCTGGGCATGGTAGTGTGTACCTGTAGTCCCAGCTACTCAGGAGGCTGAGAAGAAGGATTGCCTGAGCCCAGGAAATCGAGGGTGTGGTAAGCCGTGACCTCTGTCGTGAGTCTCCGAAACAGCCTAGGAGATAGGGACTGTGCTCAAAACAACAACAAGAAGAAATAGGGTTTCACTCTGTTGCCCAGGATGGAGTGCAGTGGCACAATCATGGCCCATCACATCCTCAAACTCCTAGGTTCAAGTGATTTTCCCACCTCAGACTCCCAAGTAGCTGGGACTACAGGTGTGCACCACCACACCCGGCTAATTTGTTGATTGTTTGTAGAGACAAAAATCTCATTGTGTTGCCCAGGCTGGTCTCAAACTCCTGGGCTCAAGCAGTCTCATCTTGCCTCAGCCTCTCAGAGTGCTGTTCAGGCGTGAGCCACCCCACCTAGCCCATCCCATGTTTTGTTACATTGTTCATGTATAGTATTTTTAGAAGATGCCTCTAGCAGCTTTCTCTTGTGAATTTGTATTAAATCCACCATAATTGAAAGGATAATACTGAAATTCATACAATTTAATAGAATTCTTTGTTGTTGTTTTTTTTACAAAATATCATAACTGAGTGTATTCATTAAAATGTGTTTAGTAGAGATGCAGCTAAGAGTTCAAAGACACAGATAAGTGGGTGAAATGTGTGCTTATAGCATCCATAGAGCTAATTGGATTTGGGTTGAGTTCTGTGCTATATAAACATAAATATTTAGTATTTCTAGTCTATTACTTGTAAAGTTTTAAGATGCCATCACGTCCAGCCTGCATGACCCATTGTGACATTCTTCAATTCTATTTAAAGAAGGATTGTAATAGGAACTTCAGGAAATTTACATGAATAAAATACACAAAAGTTTCTGTGCTTGGCGATAAACACCCAAGTAAATAAATAAACTGAAAATGTTATAGAGAAGTTGCCTGGATACTACCTGGACCAAAAATAATGTTGGAAGTCATGGTCTTCTTTAATTGAAAGTAGACTGATTATAGTATCTGCTTGAGAACTAGGAGGGTTAGGAAATGGCATATTGGGTTATTTCTTCCCCTGGAGAGAAAAAAAATGGAAAGCAGTACTATTTCTCCTGGATGTACCTATTATCCAGGAAGCAGTTTTTTAAAAGAAAGATTGCAAGGCTCCTTAGAAAATTTTACCCCCTACCCTCTACTGCAAATACAGCATAAATCAGACCAACAGGATAAACCATTGAAGAAACCACTTGCAGTTAAGAATTGATAGCTATCAAGCATCATGATAGTCAAAAGATATTATTATTATTTGAAGTTAATATACAAATGTATATATTCATATATATGTATAAGTTCAAATTGAAATTAACCATAAGAATATGGCATCAAGGCGGGCTCGGTGGCTCAGCCTGTAATCCCGCACTTTGGGAGGCTGAGGTGAGTGGATTGCCTGAGCCGGCGGGTTCGAGACCTGCCTGGGCAACTTGGCGAGACCTCATCTCTACAATAAATCAAAAATTAGCTGGGCATGGTAGTGCACGCCTGTAGTTCCAGCTACTTAGAAGGCTGAGGTGGAAGGATCACCGGAGCCCAGCAGGTCAAGGCTGCAGTGGCCGGGAGCGGCCACTGCACTCCAGTCTGGGTGACAGAGTGAGACTCCAATTAAAAAAATTAATATGGCATCCAACCGGGCATGGTAGCTCACACCTGTAATCCCAGCACTTTGGGAGGCAGATGCAAGAGGATTGCCTGAGCCCCCAGGGGTTTGAGACCAGCCTAGGTAACTTGGTGAGACTTCATCTCTACAATAAATCAAAAAATCAGTCAGGCATGGTGGTATATGCCTGTAGTTCCAGCTACTTGGAAGGCTGAGGTGGAAGGATCACCTGAGCCCAGCAGATCGAGGCTGTGGTAGCCATGAACGTGCCACTGCACTTCAGCCAGTGCAACAGCATGAGACTCCGACTCAAAAATAAAAAAAAAATATGGCATAAAATGAAAGTAGAGAAAGAATGGGAACTCCAGTTCTGGTTTTCTTCCCAAACTGTAGTCGAATTTTTAATAAATAAATTCCACAAATAGTATTTGTACTATTTACATATTTGTCTAAAAATGAAACATTCTTTTTAACTTGAAACTAAATAAAGTTTCTTTAAAAGATGCCTTGATTTGTTTAAAATTACCTACCTGATTTGTCTCATCATTAATTAACTACATGAAATGAATTCATATGCATTAAATGTTCAATTCTTTAACCAGCAAACATATTTTGGGTGCCTGCTATATGCCCAGCACTGTTCTAGGCACTGGGGGTAATCCCTACTGGCTGGATGGAGATGACAGATAATAAATGTATAAACAAGTATCAGTACCACCTCCAGGTAGAGATACCAAGAAGAAAGTTGGATATACAGGTCTGGAACTTGGAGAGAGGTCTAGGCTTGGAGTACATATTTGGGGCTCGTCTTCTGGAAGACATTTCAGCTTTGAGTCTAGTTGAGGTTATCTACACCAGTGATTCTCAATCAGGACTAATTGTGTCCCTCGGGCGACACTGGCAATGTCTGTACCCAGTTTTGATTGTCATGACTGTGGGATGGAGGATGTCACTGATAGTGGGTGGGGGCCAGGGATGCTGCTCAGTGTTCTGCAGTGCTCAAGAGAGGCCTCCACAGCCAAGGATTGTCCAACTCCAAATGTCCATAGTGACAACCCTAACAATAGAGAAACCCTAACCAAGGAACTGGATAAAAAGAGGAGATCTAAGGACTGAGCCCTGGAATACCTCAGCATTGAGGGTTTAGAGGAGATTGAAAGGGATAGCAGTGAGGTCCAAGGACAAGCAGGGGCACGTTGTACCCTGGAAGCCAAGTTTCACAGAGGAAGGAGCAACCATGTCAAATGCTACTTAGTGATTGGGTTAGATGAGAACTGAGAACTAACTAATATTTAGCAAACTGGGAGTCACTGGTATCCTTGACAAAAAGGATATAATAAGCAACTCAAAGACCTGGGAGGTAAGTTCACCAGGGCAGTGCAATGGGGTGGTTCTAGAGTCTTGTATGGGTACATTTCTGGTGAGATTGCTCAGCACCCGCCTTTCTTTCTTCCAGCTGTCTTTGGCTGCCTGGATGAAAATAGAGTAGACAGAGAGCTGGGTCCTACCAGATGAGTATAACAGAGATCAGCAAAGGTGTTGATGGAAGGTGCCCCAGAGTGACAGGTAGCATGAGCCATCGAATCCACACTGGGTGAGGAAGTGTGAATACAAGATGTGTAACCCCCATGAAAATCATATTCCTGATGGAGTAAGGGAACTTAAGTAGGTATGTTTAAGAAAGTGAGGTGCAAAATAGAGGGTGGTAGTAGAGTGGGAAACGCTTGAAATTGAACTTCAGGCAGTAAGATAGGAAGGGACAAGAGTGGTTCTGTCTTCAGATCTAAACCTGTCCATCCGAGTGAGCAGCCGAGGTGATAAGAGCAGAAAATGGGAGGTGAGAGGGTCAAGAAAA